CAGAGTAGGTTAGATGAACGTGAAATCTTATTCTAATTTGTAATTATGATGCATGTTAAATCTTAATTTACAAACCAGACATTAAAGTTCTAAAATAAAGATTACTGGCAAATCTACGGCCTTTAGATCAAACAGAAATGACATTATCAATTGATCATATGGAACTTACGGAAGTAACGATTGTTGTATTGAAACCATACAATCTACAAAAATTATTTAATTATGATTATTCTTTCTAGGAAACCGCTAGGTTGGAAATTCTTGGAACAGGATATTATGTGAACAGGAAATGTCACATAAAATAGAGAAAGTAAACCAGTCCATGCATTTTTCGCATAAAAATTCTTATGTTGTATTACAGAGTCAAATAAGGTTTATTACGGAAACTACGATAGTATATTGCTTTGTAAAATTCTTTTTAACCCCGCACGTCCTGTAAAAATTGTTAAGTGGCAGTTACATGGAAGAAAAGAGTATCATGAAATGTTTGAAGTTATTAATGCTTCCCTTATCTGATATTCGGTGTCCATCTGTAGACATTGGAAACATGCATAGAATATCATTACTATCATTAAAACATAACTGCCAAATGACATAATGTAAGCACGCTGAAAACGTTTCGAAAACGGACGGTAAAAACGAGTAACGAAACGGGAAAATGCCGAATCAGAGGGATACTATAATGCTTATCTGTTGTAAAGTTACCCCTTACCACTGTTAAAACATTGATTGACAAGCTATTCACTGCATTGGAAAATTAAATTTTCCCCTTTGTGTTAGTTACGCCCTAATTGTGACTAAGACAGCAATTTGTATCGGAATCCAATGTTTTCAGATATTGAGATTGGGGAAATGAACTTAGTTATTGTACAAATAAGTTTATACGAAATAAGCACGTATTAGTCGAGCAATGAATACACTTTATTTAGCAGACCAAACAATACGACACAAGAAATTATTGCTCAATAAATTCAAGCTTATATTTGTATGAGAATGTTTAGAAAATACGAAATAACTTGAAATAAGTTACTAATTCGGAAGCAATAATGTCAACAAAATGACATAAAATTGCAGACTCGGTTTGATTTAGACTGCCTATGCCTATGAATTATGCGACATCTCTCACGACCCCAAGTACCGGCATGAGCGGTATTTGATCTTCAACACTAAATGTGCTGGAATCAATGATCCCGAAGGACCATATTTGTAAGGCGTGAACATTCAAAAACATCGTCTGTTCTGGGTCTGTTTGGAATCTGGATTATCTGGAACGTGACCGCCACGAATCAGAATAGATTTGTAACATAATAAGCATTTATCAGTAAAATTCTGGTGTTCTTGACATGTCTCATAGACATGTTTGATTAAAACCGGAAAATTGTCCAAGTTGGTTTCTTTTGAACGATTCAGTTATGAAGTACGTGACAGGTTGAACTAGCTAGAGCATATTTACCATGAGCTGTCTTGAATTTTTCTTTTCAATAAATACAACAATGCTTGCTTATCCAAAACGTCTTTCTTTAAGCTGATATAATTTATTCCGTTAAATAATTTTGATATACTTCTTTGATATGAGCCATAGCATGTTGTATTATCGTGTTTGATTAAAGCTTAAGCATATAGAATACATTTTTTGAAATATATTGTAATAACTTGTCAAGGAAACAATAAATTATTCAAGAGCATGCAGTTTAATAATATTTTTGTTATCTTTTGAGCTGCAAATGTCGACTGGTTCCGTTGCACATATATTATTTATAAGCAGAAAACTTCCGCATGATTTGATATTCATTATGAAATAAATACTAACGGGCAAACGTTATTATAAGATTACTAAGTCCAAGTGGCCGTTCAAGGAATGCACTGTTAACAAAAATACATATTAATTATTATGTAAAATGATAAAATGCTGCTTAATGGTAGTGGATTTGAGATCAGATTAAATAATTTTATTGTAAATTATAGTAAATTTATATAACACAGTCACTGTAAATTTTATGAAAATATTCAATATCGCTTTGAAATCGGCAAGAATGACTACACTGAGAGGGGTGTTCTGCTAATGTGTTCTGCTGGTAACAATTGACGATATAGTGTTTCATCAAGTATTATTCATTGACGTATCGATTTAACAACGGTAACGTTTACTCAATTGATTCCATTTGTGTTGTTCTTATCAAACCTGGTTTGTAAGATTATTGTTATGTTATCTATTTATTATGCTCAAATTTGATGTTTGAAAAAAGAAGATAATTACTTTACAGTCACTTTTAACGTCTTTTAAATGCACACATAGAAATATAGTGCGTTTGGAACTCTACACACTAAGGTACATGTAATCACAGTGTGATAACATGGTGACATTAAGTTTAAAAGAATAGACCATATTAATTGGACAAGTAATATCGTATGCAGCTTCTAAAACATAGTTTATACATTCACTTAATAATAGTCATAGACATGTTAAATAATATCTAAGACTTTTATCTATTAGACGTATTCAGAAATAATTAAATAGCTTAAAATAAATTCTGCAATAAAAGTATTTTAAGTTGATTAAAATTTTGAAGCGAATTCTTATCATTCCATTTTCCGTTCAGTAACAAAAACCTTCTCTGTCGTAACATAACATTCCTTATAATATGTTTTAATTTTTCGTCTCTTCCCCTTCCAATAGATTTAACGCCGGCTTTGACGTTTGACGTACGCCACGATTCAAATACTTGTCATGGTATTTATGAGATATTTGTGTTGTTTTTTGTTATTGTTCTATGTAAATTTGTGAAAATGTTTCCTTAATATGGGTATAAAATATCATAGTCGTATTTTTTTTATTTAGCTTTTAAACAATCTTGTCAAAGAATATCGGGACAACCTAAGTAATACATCAATTAAGTGGAATATATATATGCTATGACAATAACAGGAATAGTCATTGACATAATACCCCCACAGTTAAAAAGATAAAAGTTGCCAAATGTTCTGTCAGTACATATCAATCCTAAGGCAATGAGACATCACCTCGAGGAGGAAGTTGTTATTTTTCCCTAAGAAAGTGCCCATTTGTTCATATTATGTATAAATGTACCTGATTACCAAACAAAATGCACAATACAAGAACTCGTTATATGCATGAAACGAAAATACTCTGACCTCATTTATATTAAATTTGGCTGTTCAAAGGTAAAAACTAGTCATTTTGTAATGCATTTTACCAAAATAATTTTGTCACCGAAACAAAATAAAGCTTAATGAAGTCTCAAAAAGCATATTTTTTCCAATTAGATTTAACTATCGTTGTGGCAAACATATTAGTCATATATATGATTTAATATGTTATATTTTGCTAAATATATTAAATTACTATAAAAAAAAACACAGCAAATTATTATGGAACATTCAGTTAAATAATATATTGCCATTACTTAGCTGCTAATCTTGTCTAGTTTAATTGCAAAAATATCATTTATGAGAAGCCTACAAAATGATTTTTGCATTCTTTAATATCAGGCATAGGCCCTGGGCCAGTGTGAAATTTGCGTTGAAGATGTGCTAAATTGACCTCTTTACACACCAATCTTCCTAATATACTATATTCCAATTAAAAATTCCAATTTCAAAAACAGTCCATAATATGCTATATAGTTATAGACAAGGTCAGTAACGAGCGCGTAACGCTATGGGACGTCTCTCGGCAAACTTGTGGAACATTAGAAAACTGCATTTTACAAATATTAGCGCTTGTACAAACGTTTCTACGCTCCAGACATTTAAAGTATTGAATATGCAATTGATTTACCCTACAAATCAAGTTGAATTTCCACTTATGGTTGCACAACGCCGATTTGTTTCGTTTTTTTCTACTTTTCGTTCGCTTTCACCGACATATTGCCGAAAAAGGGGGAAAACTCCGTACAACCGTCACTATCCGGGCTCGGTAGGTATTAAACTACTATATTGTCATCGCTAATCGCGGGTTCGTCTGCATTAAACGCGCCAAATTATGATTTAGAGTGAAACATTAATAAACCAAAAATGTCAGCGATTGAGTGGTAAGTAAATTATTTTCTTACAGCTTGTTATGTCAATATAACTTTATTTACCTATTGTTGGTACGGTTTTTTCAAACTCGGACTATTTTGAACCTGATGACAGTTTTCCGTCACTTACCGTACAAGGGGCAAAGACGAAGGATTAGGGGTTATAATTTCTATAAATATTCTTTATTAAAATTTGCAATATGTGATATATGATAACTCGACTACGACATTTCCTAATCCCTTCGAAAACATGTTACGCAACTCCATAGACAGGCAATCAAATGCATTATAGAAGACGCGGACTTCGAACGGTTCGCGCACTTATATAGGAGAGTGTAAGGAGTAGATAGATATGTTTATATAACGCATGTATTAAAAAACTGAAAAAACAATTACATGTAAGTAATAATTATTATATATCCCCTCAGTTCTAAGTGCTATTTCCTTTTTATTTATTATTTCCAGTTTTATTTTGGGAGCTGGTCATTTTGTAACCTGTCCATTTACTGATCTCACCACACTGGTCGATTCATAACCATTCATTTAATTCGTAACTATTGCTTGATCATTTCGTCAACTACTAAAATCTGTAATAGTTTATTACAATAGAGTTATCAAAGATTGTACATAATGAATATATCTGTATCTGAAATAGATATGGATTCAGGCAGATCATTTACCAAATAATGGACTTTCTTTATAGTTTTCTAACGCGGATCCTATGGATATACTTTTTTATACTTACTATATTGTACGGCAATCATAGTAATTTCAATTCATTATTGTATTCGTGTCCTAAAATCTCCTACTGGTTTGAAATATTTTAATAAATTTACCCTATTCTCTTTCGACATTTTCCCCTAAGGAATTCAGTATGATACAGGAGTAAATATACATTTCTATCTCCTTTTTTGGCCGAATTGTGTTTTATTGAAATATCTATTTAAAAATCCAGATTACTTCGTAAAAATCTTTTTATTATTTTAGACTTATACTTGCCATACATTATGATAGTTCTTGTGAGATTTTCTCAATACAGAACTTGAAATTATAGGCATATATGCGCGTTTGTTTTTGTACGTGATATATTTCTCTTGTGAACACTGACAGGTTTTGAAAATAACAACTTTGGAGTGGCTCAAATGTATATTAAATCTTTAACGTTAAATAGAACAATGCCCTTGACATATCTGAATGACTCTTGATTTTCACTCAAAACTGTTAAAACAGCATTAAATATCTGGCAAAAAAATCATACAAAATGACATATGAGAGATGCAATCGTTTTACTATAATGTAAATATTGTAGCACTGTAACACAAAAAACATACAAAACCTATTTATAAGACATTTTCATGAAGCGTAACTTTCAGTCAATTCAATGTCCAATGAAAATAAATAATGACTGTCATGTCTCAATAGCTTCATTATATATATTTTATATATAATTGAAAGTAAGTGACTAACCATGAAATGTAACAATTTTCTACAGACTCTTCATCAATATTAAGTAAGTGACACACTGATTTTAAAATAAAAATGAGAATAAAGAAAGTGGATCATGTTGTGGCTTTGGCAACACTCTTTCACCATCTTAACTGAAATTAAAACATGAAGCTACAAAATGACATATAGCCGTTATTTATTAAGCAAAACTGTGTAAAAGATTGTTAGCTATTTAAAACAAACACACATATTTCCACTATTTTCTTTATATAGTGCTTGTTTTGATGTTTCCCTGTTTGGCGTGTCTTGTGAAATACACTGCACAACTAAAGTGTAAATGTAACATCGGATAGGCCCTAGTCATGTAAAATCAGAACATCTGATATTTCATCGTTTGATCAGTTTATAATGAAATAAGTACACTGACAAATGTTCTCTTTCTAAACAAGTTTATATATAAACGTTTCATGAACACTCCTTGCAGAAGAAATCAGCCGTTGCAAAATGATCCCATTTCTTTTTTGATCTAAGACCTGCACAATTTCTGTGTATCCATGCTAAACAAGCATTACATTGGATCCATTCAACTCCTTCCCTTCCTCTTTTTTGACATTTTTTACACAATCCATCATCTTCATCTGAGGAGTTTTCAGATGGCAAATTAACATCAAGGGAGTCTGACAAGTGTTCACCAACATATTCTGTGGATTCACATACAGCTCCAGGCACATTCATCGATGAAAGTTGTTCCTCTTGACGAGATGTTCCAGGCCTCTCTTCATTCATAGTATTCTCTGTTCCTGTAATTCTACCAAGGCTAGAGTGAGTCCTTTCAAAAGAATCTTGCTCATCGAGATTATGTGTAGATTCTTGAACTGGTTCCTTGGAAGATGTTGCTTGTTGAACATCTTGGGTAGAGATGATACTTGGATATTTCATACTGTTACATGTAACAACTGCCTCTTGCAAAAGCTTAATGCAATCCGACTTTGAGACAGTACGAATAAACTTGATGTCATAAGCTTTTAAAAGCTTTTGTATCTCAGGTTTTTTAAATGTCGCAAAAACATCGACTTTGCTTAACACCAGTCCCTTCAGCAAGGCATGTGACATTTCTTTTCCTTCGGTCAAGTCTTTCTCGATTGTTTGGAAAGAAACATTTGTAATAGACTGTGATTCTTTTTTTTTCTTTTTAACTTGGACTTGTTTTCTGTGCTCCATCGTTTTAGAAACTGAATACGACTGCAAAATGTCCCGTCTGAACTGGTTGAACACAACTTTAAGAAAAAGTTTCAATATTTCTTGAAACAGTTCCAAAATATACGTTGAAGGTATATCATCATGAGTTTCAAAAAACAACGAGTTCATAATCTTCCTGCTCTTTACAACGGATTCAAACTCTCTTTGAAGATCAGTAGATGTGAGTAATTTCGATAAGACGAATTTGTGTAGATCTTCACCATGGCGTTGAAAATTTTCAAATGTTAAAAGAGATAAAATGAAATCACATAAATGTTCAAAAAAGTCAAACAACTCATCTGGAATGTGAACTAAGCCTTTGCTGAGATTTTGCTTTTCTGATATGTCCAACAGCGTTTCTGGCTTACAGCTTGATTTTTTCAGAAAATACTCCTCCTCGCGTAAACTGTTCAAAATACTGATTTTATCTGAAGCCTCGTCAAACTCTGTCTGCTTTAAAATGTTTAAGCTGTACATTCGAGACTGTTGCAGAGTTAGATACTTCTTTCTTATCTGATGAATACAGTAACCACCGACGTATCTTATTCTTCCTTTCGAAGCTTCCGTGGTTGTTCGTTTGGCAAGTTCATGTGATTTAACCTCTGTTGGGTAAAGGTCTGCCTTTTCCTTAAGTAGATATTTTCTTATAGCCATTGTTATTTTGTAGCATATATGGGAATGGGCTTTATCAAATTTGTTGTACTTCTGAAAAAGTGTCGTGCATGCAAGCTTATGACTATCACTTGTTTCGACAGCTGTAGCCTTTCTATAAAATTCAGTGATATCCTCTGCCTTCACCGGAACAGGTTCCTTTATTTTCATGCATTCAATAACATCTCTATGTGAGTGAAATATCTTTTTGCAGAAGTCAGTTATCTGCACTTGGTCTCCATTTATCATTTCATGAACAAGTTTGTTACATTCGATTTGTTGAGGTTTATGAATTGTTACTGCATATGCAAGTTTCAAAGGGATCTGGTGTCTCGTTGCAACAATTCTGTTCTCAGCAGGACTAAAAACTGCAAGGTTGTAATTAAGATAAATGGATCATTCTTTATGTACAAACAAATAACTTAAATGTACAAATAAAATGATTAATTGAATGTAGCTTTTAAAGCAACACACGGCATGCAAAAGTTTTCTTTGCACCTTGCTTTATAAACATTAATAGACATTGATTTGATTGACGTCTTATTTGATCACCTATCTGGCAGTACGATTACTTTGTATGTATACTTACATTTCACCTAAAACATTTTGACATGCAAAAAGGGATATATGTTTACAAACAAAAACATGTATATTTTTTAAACTAATCACAATAAAAAAAAATATCTAACCGAAAGTACTTTGTTGACGTTTTTTCTGTACTTTAAACATTAATTCTTTTACAAAGTTTTTGTTATGTCAGTTCCATATGTAGTTATAGCATTTGAGAAAGAAACTAGAATACTGTCCGATTTTAATCGAATAGTTTTAATAAATTATGTGAAAATACATTTATATTAAATTAATCGGACATTTTTATCATATCTTATCCAAATTCTATTTAACTATTCTATAGATATGTCTTTTCTTTCAATCGATTATCTATGTCGTCAAACCCCTTTCGAGGACGTTGACATTTTGCGAAAAATATCAAAAAAAATAATATATATATATATATATTAGTGATGTAAATTAGTTGTTCATCTTTTAAAAAACATTTTTTTTCTTACCAGTGAAATTAACAGGATCAATTTTAGTCGTCACATTAATTGCTGGGAAATGTACGACTGGTGTTTCCCCGTCAAAAGATACGACTTTTCCCTGAAGTCCGTTTACTAAAGTGTTACTTAAATTACGTAGAAGTATAACTGGTGCTGATTCTTTCAACCAAAGTGTTGACTGTACATTCATTCGACTTAAATTTCCTCTGTACCTTGCATCAATCACTTCATCTTTAGATTTATAAGTCATTACATTTCCATGTTCTTTAAGGAGTTGTTTTCTGTTATACAAATCCACAAGATAATTGTTTGAAAATAGTTTTATTGATACACCCGTTATTGGCCTTTCAAGGCGTTTCATATACTCGTTGGTCTGTTCATTTACATCCCCCGTAGACACTTCCCTGATGATACGTATAAAGTCAATATCTTGTTGCCTAACAACTTCTTCCAGGATAATTTTGTGTTTTAATACAGTTTGAAATACCTTACTTTTGAAACAAAATTCTCCATTGTCATTGTATAAATTGTTCTGGACGGGCGGAAGCTGAAAAAAATCTCCACTCACTATTAGTTGCATACCTCCAAATAACTGGCTACTGTTTTTCACGGAGCAAACACTTGCCAGCTGCTCAAAGATGTTCTTACTCAACATTGAGATTTCGTCTATAATCAAGACATCTGTTGCTTCAATCCGTCGCAACGTTAGCTCAAACTCTGGAGAGGTTTTAATCAAATTTTGCAGTTCAGACGCAGTGTATCGCCCATCTTGTAAACCAGCCCACCTATGCACAGTTTGTGCTTGACCACTAAAATTAGAGCATGATATTCCTGTACTGCAAGTAATTTGCACATTTTTACCTTTCCTTTTGAGTTCCTCAAAAATTCGATTCAGTAAAAATGTTTTACCTGTACCCGGAGAGCCTAGGACAGCTAAATTGTGACCATCTATGGCCATCTTTAAGGCAATTTTCTGTTTTTCATTCAAAACCATTTTGCTTGGACTTACAAAGTTTCAAGTTACTTAATGTATTTATACTTCACTAAAAACAAACTTATACCAAAGAAATCTGAAATTCACCACTCATGACATAAACACCTACGCAAATATCTGGAAAAACTATTTGTTTCTGGAATAAAAATCCTTTCACAGTGCGTTTTTTCTGTTTGCAAAAGGCGGCTTATTTTTCAAGGGATGTAATTTCGGAAATTTTTCCTACATAGGTGTATATGATAACTAATTATCAGCAAAGTCCATGTAAAAAATTGTACATGAAATAATAAATAGTCACAGTTTAGTGCGACGACAATTTACTTACATTAATTCATTCATTTTTATTTATTAAGTTTTTTTTTGACATGTAGCATAAATTATTTGCTAACGTTACTTAATTTGATACATAAAATATAGTAGTTTAATACCTACCGAGCCCGGATAGTGACGGTTGTACGGAGTTTTCCCCCTTTTTCGGCAATATGTCGGTGAAAGCGAACGAAAAGTAGAAAAAACGAAACAAATCGGCGTTGTGCAACCATAAGTGGAAATTCAACTTGATTTGTAGGGTAAATCAATTGCATATTCAATACTTTAAATGTCTGGAGCGTAGAAACGTTTGTACAAGCGCTAATATTTGTAAAATGCAGTTTTCTAATGTTCCACAAGTTTGCCGAGAGACGTCCCATAGCGTTACGCGCTCGTTACTGACCTTGTCTATAACTATATAGCATATTATGGACTGTTTTTGAAATTGGAATTTTTAATTGGAATATAGTATATTAGGAAGATTGGTGTGTAAAGAGGTCAATTTAGCACATCTTCAACGCAAATTTCACACTGGCCCAGGGCCTATGATATCAGGTAGACATAAGTTCTGTCAGGCTTTTTGATCTAGATTATTCAATTCATACGACTACACTGCGAAATCAAATGTTGGTTAATTAATTACTGATAAAAATAAAAACTTATGCATTTAATTAAATAAGAAATAATAATTGACTAAAAAATATAAAGATGTCACTTTGATTATAACAAAACATTTAATTTCTTTTATGCATGGGGATTTGATTTCTATTGCATATCAAACAGGAATCTCTACGGTTTATAATAATGTTAGAATGCTTGTTTAATTCTTATTAGTTAAACATGTCACGTGCCTTAAATAATATCTTAACGCGGGTCTTTTATGAATGAATTGCATGTAAAATATGTTAAAAATGTGAATAAGAAAACATGCAAAATGAAAATTTTAGTTTTTGTTATTTCTTTCCAAATTATGATTCACATGTTACATACCAAATCCTCGCCAGAGTCTCGCTACTGTTGTCGAAATTTACCATTGAGCTAGATATTCCGTCTATACCGGTGGCCAAGACAGGATTCTTATACCGGGGTAATATTACGTGCTTTAACTAATTGCAAATCCATAAGTGACAAAAATATTAAAATTAAAGCTAAAGAAAATCAGTTTTCGCAATTGTCTTCCAAAAATTATTCATGATTGCTTCTGATGCAAGATTTACAACTAGGTATATGGCTTAATAAGTTTGTATCTCTATAGGAGCAGTACCAGATGAATACTCCATCTCCTTACAAAAGAGTAGAATCTTGCTCGTGTAAGAATCTCCAAACAATTGTTGAAACAGTACCCTTAATACAACAATCAATGTTTCGCAAAAATCATCACTGGCGATGAGAGTTGGGTTTTCTTTTTATGAGCCCAAGCAAAAGATGCATAACAAAATATGGGTTACCTCAAGGAAGTCAAAGGATTTTCATTGCAAAACGCACCATGAGTGTCAAAAAAGGTGATGCGTGTATTCAAGGTCCTGCTATTAAAATTGCCCTACTAAAGGGTAAATCTGTTATTGCAAATATTTTCAAAGTCATGTGATGTCAGGTTGTTGCATAACAATGCTGTGTCACACAAAGCGGCCATAGTACACAGGAAAAGGCTGCCCAGCTTCCTTCCCCTTGTGACTTATTTCCGAGGCTCAAAAAACACCTGTGGGAATAAAATGTCAAACGCGAATAAATTTGGTTCTGCTATTTTTCTAGTGTCTGAGCAGAAAACCTCGAAAATATTATTAAATCACATTCAAAAATTGGATTATAAGACAAAAAATTTGTATATCACATGGTGGTGAGTATTTTGAAGTATTGAGATAATGATTTGGCACTGTTTGTGAAACATTTCTGAAAATTGACCCAGTTGCATTCATTTTTGAACACCCGAAATGTTTCGATACTTAGTGTGAGACCATATCTTCCTTTGTAGACTGAATAAAATCTTTTTTGTCAATCATGATAATCACCATGTATTAAGATATGATACAATATGTCATAGAAGAAGCATATTGTAGTTTAGTTTATACACATTAATGCACATTTATTTAAGTTTGATTGAGCTTATTGAAACACAATCGAATCCGTTCTTGGAAACAACCAGTCCTTGGAGATAAAGGTAAAGTTACTTGCTAAGAGAATATGTCTTGCCCCAACCACGCGGTACGAACTTAGATTACTAATCCGACGCGTTACCCAATCGGCCTCGCCGAGACTCTTATTTTAAAAACATCTAAACGCATGATAATTGATTTATTAGATACATGTTAGTCACTTATTGCAGATGAGAATGGTCATTTGCCAGAATGGAACCGAATTCAACATACCCTTACATGATTTATGTCCTTTAATAATAGAAAAATTGAATAGTAAACTTTTTAATACTTTGTGAGGGAAACTATGTCAAAAATGTACGACAATAATTATAATAATGCTACTTACATTTTATATTGACATTTCATTTACTTATCATATTCACTTCAATCTATATTCTAGAATGAACCTTCTGTAACATAAACTTTCCCAGACGGATAAATATCAAATTTACGTTTCTGTTTCAATCTAAGTAAATGCATCTTGAATAAACTGCAATATATCTAATCGCTTATTCTGATATCGACATATTTCAGCTTTTAATTAACTTTGATTGGGAGAGTAGAAGAACAAACAAATAAGGGTAAGAGCTTAAAGAGTTATAAGGCATCCGGGCAATACATCCAAAGACAGCACAATATACGAGGGTCATTCATAAGGTTTCCGGACTGGAATCATAGTTTGTTAAAAAATCTTAATATATACTCAACATCAGTAATTCCGTGTCATCATTTAGTTCACGGTAATGTCATACTTCCATATGACCAGTTTCAAACTATGTCAGAATTGATATAATATATTCATACACCTTAACAACAAAGTGTTTGTGCACAATATTTTAAATCTCTAAATTTTTACGTAAAACAGAACAACATTTTACAAATTTCTGCAAAAAGCTACAATAGTCCATACAATCTTTGCCTGTGTTGGAAACAATCATCATTTTCTAAATGTTCTTGTTTGTTAAAAAAAAAAGTTTTGAGTCACAAAGTAAAAATAGTTTTGATATTTAAAATTGGTAAGTTAAAAATTGTTTATTATGCATTCGTACAACTATGGTACTAGTGACGTCAGATTAATTATTGTTACATTAGTGGCAATGTTTAATAAAAGAAATACAAAAAAGAAAAAAAAAACATCATAACAAGAGTAATAGGACATACAATTTCATTTTAGTGGGGAGCTCCATAGCTTTTGTAATGAGATATTGTCAACGTAATATTAACATCAATTAAACAGTTTTTTCTACTATGCTCACCATTAAAAACAATATTTTAATCACAAAAAATAATAAAATATATGAAATTCTCACTGAAAATATCTGATTTGAATAAAAGTTAAAATAACGTATGTAGGAGAAACTGCTTCCCTATAACAGATAACCGTTTTCTATAAAAACTTAATGATATTATTTTTTCAAATGTTTACCACATATAGTGTGTAGAATTTTAAACCTTACATATATATCTACTTTGTATAAAGTCTACATGTTTTTTTTTATATTTGTAAAGATACTTTGTGGCAATTATCAATATGTTCTGATATGAAATTTGAGCATAGTATATCTTAAGAAATTATTATTGGAAATATTTTAAAACGTTTTATATTACAGTGACTTTAATTTTCAGGATCTATAAAAAATGGCCCTTGTACATTCAAATATACAGCAAAAACCTTGAAAATAAGAGTGGTATATAAAATTATAAAAAACATTTTTAAAACTATACATATATTGATGTGAGTGATTACTCGAAAGGCGAATTTTATCTAAGTACTTGGCTGTGTCTGTGTAGTTATGTTTATATGATGACAAGATCAAAACTTGCTAGAAAGGCGTCATTTATCTACGCACATTTTATCACTTTTATAGAAAACTGACAAGACATTTAGGGAAACTGATATATGATATAATAATAGAGCGATGCACTTTTTCTTCACAATGTTTTTTGTAAGTAAGAAAGTATATCACAAATTTGTTGTGATAGCATTTTCATAGCCTGTGGTATCTGCTTGGCTGTTGTTGCCTGTAAGAAAGAGAATATTTTAATATTTATTGTTTACTGTTAATAAAAAGAAGGTAAAAAAACAACAGACTCATAAAATGACGTTACAATGTTATATTGTATATCTTTGTTATATGTAATATCATTTTTAGTATCAAGTTCTTTGATTATTTTTCACCAATACTCTTTAATATGAGATCTTGTGATAGTTTCTAAATTGTTTGAATTGCATTTAGTTTATCTATTTGTTTAAAACAAAAATTTACTGTCTTTAAGTTTATGAAAGAGACGCATATTTTACAATTTCATTGATGTATTTATATTCTCAAATAAAGGTGTCTGGATTCATGCCACATGAAAAGTATAAATAGTAGAGATAAAGGTTGTAAAATTACCATTAATGTTATCTAAAGTGTCGTATTCAGAGTCAGTATTGTTAATTCGAGAATCTGGAGTTGAGTATTGTGTTTTATTACTCTCGCTGTAATACAAGAAAATGAGTCAGGAGTAATATGGTATAAAGCTATATATAATGAAATAATTTCAGTAAAGTCATGTTGTTTTTATAACCTTCAGGTCGATTCAATGTTTCCGATTAACATCATACAAAGAAAATTAAAAACATATCGGTTGTGTATCTTTTTTCAAGCATTTTCGGAACATTCACTTTTATTTTGATATTTTAATGGTAAAAATACTTGGCTAGTGATTGGCTTATCAGGAGATGACCTAGCCGGAACAGTTACAGTAAATGCCTATGTGGCTGTGAAGTATTTGAACTGCGTTCAGTGAATGTTGCATTTTATGTTTATATGCCCGAAAGAATTTCGGGCATATTATGTTATACCCCTTGCGTCTGCCCGTCCGGGCGAACATCCAATGGTCTATGAGCTTAATTCCGTCCATAATTTTTGTTAAAAAAAGGAGGAAATCCCATAAACCAACAGGTTTATGTGGTAATTTTTACTGGTTTATGGGTTAAAATACCAAAAAAGATCAAAGAAAAAGCACACAAACCCCAAATGTTGGCGTCCGTCTGTCCGGTCGTTAGCAATGTGGTTTCTGGAGCATAACTTAAGTTCCATTTTGCCCACAATATTCAAATTTCATGGGATGATTATCCATATTAGGTAGAGGAACCCTGTTGATTTTTGGATCACAAATTCAAAGGTCAAGGCCACTTTTACCAAAAAACTCAAAACAGTTTCCGGATCATAACTTAAGTTCCATTTGGCCCACAATATTCAAACGTCATAAAATGGTTGTCCATATTAGGCGGAAGACCCTTATCGATTTTGGGGTCACAAATTCAAAGGTCAAGGTCACTTTCATCTTAAAACGAAAAACAGTTTCGAGAGCATAACTTAAGTTCTATTTGGCCCACAATATTCAAACTTCATAGGATGAGGTCCTTATTGGGTAGAAGTCCCTACTGATTTTGGGGTCACAAGGTCAAAGGTCAAGGTCACTTTTACATTAAAACTGGAAACGGTTTCCGCTCAATAACTTAAGTATAAATCAACCTACAGCTGTAAAATGTTATAGGATGAACAGCCAAGTCAAATACATGCCCGTTTGATTTTAGCGTCATAAGGTCAAAGGCAAGGGTCACAATAATCTTTACACTGAAAAATGTGTTTTCCTGAAAAGTGTGTTTTCTGGAGCATAACGTAAGTTCCATTTGGCCCCCAGTGTTCAAACTTCATAGGATGATTGTTAATATTGAATTAAAGGTCCATATCTATATTGGGATCACAAGGTCAAAGGTAAATATCAAATGACCTTAATATTTTTAACATTTTACAACTGTCAAACTACTTAGGATGATCACTTACACTGAGAACATTTATAATATGCCCTAAAAAGTACTAATATTATGTTATACCCCTGGCGTCTTTCCGTCTATCCGTCGAAGCATTTTTACTTACAAGATAACAATTTGATGGTGGTGCTTTGGAAACTGTATATATATATATATATATATATATATATATATATATATATATATATATATATATATATATAAGTTCTTCAGCTATACAGGAGGATTGCTTTTTGAAGGAGGTAATACTTTATTTATTTCCCATGTCTTACAATTGCTTAATCCTTACTTAAAACACTTCCGGGCATATAATGCTCCGCCTAGCTCTTTCCATATTTCATTACCACTGAATGATCTCCCTTCTTGGGTTTTTGAACGGAACATTGCAGGGTTATTACATTAGACAAGCAATGATGTTACACAAAAAGAGCACTTAACAATAAACAAACAGTCATATTACGAGGAACTTAAAATAACTTTGTCAAGGTATAGTAACGAAATAAAGAACAGCAGAACTACTGATTAAACATTTGTATCCCTTTGATGAATTTTATAAATAAAATTCAGACAAATTTGCAGCGCTTACCTTTTCCTTTTTCTTAATACCAATACTACCACTGTGATAGTTAAAACAATAATGATCAGCACAGCTACTGATCCACCAACTGCTCCTGCTAAAAGGTATGCAGTATTTTCGTTTTCATTGCTTGGCTGGGTTCCATTGTTAATATCTTCAACTGTAAGGAAATAAAATCTATGATTTAAAAATTGTACTGAATGTGATTTTCGTAAAAAAATACTATACGAATTAATGGTTTGTGTAACACACCAGTTATTATTGGTGCAACTTACAGGAAATATCCAAGAGTAGTTTATGTAACTCCCATTTAAAAAAAATTGTTACCTGAACAAATAAAGCCAGTAAATATATACTCGGACAAATACGCTTAGTAAACATGTATCATCACCACAAAAATAAGTGTCACTACATTTATCAAAAAGGCACTAAAGTGATTACATAGCAATGATTTTGTTGTAATGAATAATATCTGAGCAGTTTTCCTAAGATTGAAACACTCATGTATATAGAAGTTACAGAGCGGACACAACAAGCACCATTTATATGTAAATAACATAAATATTGAAAAAATTTAAACCCCAGCAGTGACTTTGATCTAAGACGTAGAAAAACGGTCTTAAGGGCAACACACCATACATTTATGATAATTTCTTATGTGAAATAAAAAATATAATCCTTTCATGCACATATTTTCAGAGCAGACAAGACCATCTCTGCCTATATGTATATCAACATCAAAATTGGCAAAGTTTGAACCCCACAGTGACCTTGACCTTAGCCGTAGAAACACCGAGTCTTGTTCGCGACAAACCATAAATCAATGGTTAATTAGTATGTGAAAGAAAAATAACAAGAATTTGTAACATAGTTACCAAGGTCCACCGCCTCGGGGAAGTTTTATATGAAGCATAAAATTGTGCTATTTTAAAAGATTAAACGATTGAGGTATGGATCAAAGGACTTTCAGTCCAAAATTATGATCAATGCTAGATCTGCAAATGCAACAATAAATTTATTAAAGAAATAAAATGAATCTTAAGCTTTGACCTCTTAGTGTGACCTTGACCTTTGAGGTAGGGGTCAAGGTGGTGTGCATGACATATCGTCTTAGTATAATAACTATTTGTACCAAGTATTTTCAAAATCCCTTGAACTATGAAGAAGTTATAGATGGGACACAAAATTTACCCTCTAACAGGCTATGTTAATTTTTGAACTCTACATGTGACCTTGACCTTGGAGGTAGGGACACTGGTGTTACACATAACATATCATCTTATCATTGTGACTATTTGTGCCAAGTTTTTTCAAAATCCCTTGATCTTTGAAGAAGTTATGAACAGGACACAAAATATACCATATAACAGACTCTGTTATTTTTGACGTCTAAGTTTGACCTTGACCTTGGAGGTAGGGGTACAGGTGTTGTACTTGACATATCGTCTTATTATTGTGACTATTTGTGCTAAGTTATTTCAAAATGCCTTGAATTATGAAGAAGTTCTAGATCAGACACAATATATACCCTTTCACAGACTATGTTAATTTTTGACCTCGAAATGTGACCTTGACCTTGGAGGAAGAGATGCAGGTGTTGCACATGACACATCGTCTTAGTATAGTGACTATTTGTGCCAAGAATTTTCAAAATCCTTTGATATATGAAAAAGTTATTGACCAGACACAAAATATACCCTATAACAGACTATGTTAATATTTGACCTCCAAGTGTGACCTTGACCTTGTAGGTGGGTGACCGATTGTTGCGCATGACGCATCTTCTCATTATTGTTAACAATTGTGGCAAGTATTTACAAAATCCCTTCAAAGATAAGAAAGTTATAGACCGGACACGACATATACCCTCAAATAGACAATGTTGACCTTGAATGAGCAAGTGCGACCTTGACCCTGGAGGTACATGTAGGGGTCTGGTAGTTGTGCATGACATATTGTCTTATTATAACAAACATTTGTGCCAAGTTATTTCAAGTTCCTTTGATAAATGACAAAGTTATGGACCAGACACGAAATATACCCTGTAATAGACTATGTCAATCTTTGACCTCCAAGTGTGACCTTGACCTTGGAGATAGGTGACCGGTTGTTGCGCATGCCACATTTACTTATTATTGTGAGCAATTGTGGCAAGTATTTACAAAATCCTTTCAAAGAAAAAAAGGTATGGACCGGACACAAGATATACCCTCAAATAGACAATGTTGACCTTGAATGAGCAAGTTCGACCTTGACCCTGGAGATAGGGGTCTGGTTTTTGTGCATGACACATCGTCTTATTATAACAAACATTTGTGCCAAGTTATTTCAGATTCCTTTTATAAATGACAAAGTTATGGACCGGACACGAAAGTGTGACGGACGGACAGACGGACGTTCCAACATTTTGGCTTTATAGTGCTGTAAATCAGCCCATTTTACTAGCCTATTTAGAGGGGTAACTGGTCTATGTCAGCCAACAGCAAGTTTCATATACCAAAATGTTCGTCTGGATCTGTAGTTTCTGGAATGGATATTCATTTGGCCCAACCCCGATGCGAAGCTAAGATATCCAAGATGGCGTCAAAGATGGCTGCCAAATCCCTAAATTTTCTAGTATATTTACGTTGGCTTATTTCCTTTTTCAGTTTTGTAAATCAATTGAAATGTTTCATAAAATTTCTTATTTTCAGCTTACTTATGCTATAAATTTTGACTTTATTGATTTTTTTTCTAGTTTTCATCGCCTTATTTAAACGACAGAAGAAAAAATATGTTGCAAACTGTGTGTCCTTTTCTGAATATGTGTAACTTATTAGTTTTATTCTTGTTTAAACTGAAAAACATTCATGATTTTGTTTAATACAGCTTTAAATCTATATCTACACATATTTAGAATAAGTTAGAATAAGCGGACTATGCCATAAATGTGTTTTATTGATCTAAATTTATATACAAAGTGGGTGGGGTATTACGAACGGGAAGTCAACTTTAAATTAAATACTTTTTTGTTTTATATAATAATAGTAATATAAAAAGGTTAACAATTTTATTTAATTGGTTAGTGATGAGACATCTTATCTTTCATAGAAAATGCCCTGCATGTGTGTCTAAATGTTGAAATATCTCTTTTATTTGTTTTATGCACACAATAAGGAACTATTTACTGACCTGCAATTCGGTATTTGCTTGCCTTTTGTTAAGGATTTGTTTGCAAGTTTTTTTCTCCTTAGACATTCAATGTTAGTCTTCAAATGTGATTTTGATTATACTTGTAGGTCACTGTTCAAAACCCATAAGCTAAGCATTTATTAGGCAATAATAATAATTATCTATTTATTAACTTACAGAATTTCTCAGACAACATTTATCTCCACAACCATCATTAATGTAGTTTACTTCCCTCTTACATGTTTTTATTTCAAAGAGATATACTAATTTATGAATAAGAGAATTTCTTTATAATGCAGGCTGTTGATTTTAAATATTCGAGCGTGCTGTCTGACATGCAGCTCTTGTTTTAAGGCATTGGCATAACATATGATAATCTACAATTGAACCATATTTGGAGTTTTGTCATTATTGATGACGGATATAATATATACATTAAAATATAAAATGTAATTTGCTAGAACATTTAAAATGGGTAGGTTATTCATTTTACAGTAAGAGACTTTTCTGCTAGACTGTATCTGAATTATAAATAAAATATTATATAAATATAAATATATATATATTGAATTGAAAATTTATATTATGAGGTCAGTTTCTTTTTAGCTCAACTATTCGACGATTAAGGACAACTATCCTCGTCGCCCGAGCGTCGGCGTCAAAGTTTGCGTACCATAACAAAGTCCATTGACATATGGCTTGAAACTTGCGCACTTGTTTACCATCATGCCCTCCACTTTCAACACTGGATAAGGTCTATCAAGCATTTTGACAGAATTATGCCCCTTTTCCCATCTTTGAATTTACATTACCACCTCAGATAATTTCAAAATTCCATCGACATATCGCTTTGAGACCTTGCACACTTGTTCACCATCATAATCTCAACCTGTGTACAGAGAAGGTCACTGTATCAAGCTTTTTTACAATATTATGTCCCATTTTTTTTACTATCAAGCACTGAGAATAGTCGAGCACGCTGTCCTACTGACAGCTCCTGTGTATGATTTTGAGCATTTGGTTTTAAATTTGTTAACTTCATGGGAGGAATTAAGAAGAGCTTTCAATTGGACGAAAATAGCTTATCTTTTCCCTGGCGGGTACTTGATAGTAATACTATGTGCTAGGGGCCATAGAGTAACATGCACTTTTCAGTACCGTCCATGAACAGGCTCAATCAAACCGAGTCTGCAACAGCAGGTTAACAGTGTTATATTTATAGGTCTTTCGGGATGGTAATGTTGGTGTCGGTAGTTTTCAATCCGGATCACGGCAGTAACCATATTGAATTTACCAGAGCACAGTTCAGCCACCGAATCGTTCCTTGACAGGCTGTCAAACAATTTACCAGTTCTAGTTGCCCTCACTTTCGCAAGAAACTGAAACTTCTGTACATAGCAGAGCAGTGGTACAGAGCGAATAACCGTAGAAACTACATGTATTTCATGATCAATCACAACGAAAGTGACCTGCCCCGTCCGGGAATCAAACACGGGTTGCCCGATTCACAGTCCAACACTCTACCTATTGAGCTAACCGGACGACTTGGTCCTTCGGGATCATTGATAGCAAAACTTCAGTTCAGGATTGAATACTACTTAGTCGGTACTAAAAGACGTGAGATATGGTCTCTCATGAACAGACCCCATCAAACTGAGTTTGAATGATCAACTTTGCCACGTTTAATTGCTCTCAAAGGATCTTCCCTTTTCCTGATTTTTACAATCATAATGCCAATGACATGTTAGTTTACTTTATTTACTTTTATATTGTTACTAGAGGTATTTTATGTTAAGTCTCTCTACTTTTTCACAACCGGAAGCTATACGTTGCATTAAATAGCACTTACCGCTACCTAGATAATATCCTTAACATGAATAATCAAGTGAAATCTAAAATATATCTAAGTGAACGTAAAATGAATAAAACAAACTCTTAATATATTCAAATTTAAACATTTCTATCATAAACAATAACATAGTAACTAAA